TCAAAGGACCCCAGCTTTGATGATTAGGCGTAAACCAAAACTAGATGGGGCCCAGCTACTGGGCTGACTGCTCTGGAAGGGAGCAAACTGATGTGGGTCTTCTAAATCACGGTCTTATAACTGGGGGTGGGAGTGGAGGTAGGGTGTTGGCGCCATTGAGTCGAGTACGACTCATAGTGACCCTATGAAAATCCTATGTGAACCTTGTCCTATCCCAATCTCTGACACACTTGAGCCCATTGTCACAGTCACTGAAACAATCCATCTGGTGAGGGTCTTCCTCTATCGCTCCTTCCCAAGCAGGAAGTCTGTCTCCAAGGAATAATCTTCTAGCAACAAGCTTCTAGCATGAAGCTTTGTCATCTTTGCTTCCAAAGAGCACTCTGACTGCAACTTCCACAAGACACATCTTTGTTCTTTTTTCAGCCCATGGAGTCTCCACCACTCTTCTCAACATCACAGTTCAAGGGCATCAATTCTGACATCCTTATTCACATCCAGCTCTCAGCAGCACAGCAAGTGACTGAAAAGACCATGGCCTGAATCAGGCATGTCTTTGTTCTCAAACTGAGATATTATTCCTCAGTAATTTGGAGTGGACCCTGACTGCAGACTTTCCTGGTGCAACGCATCTCCTGATCTCCTCACTGCTGGCACCACAGGTGTTGACTGTGAAACCAAGTAAAACAAAGTTGCTGACAGTCTTAATCCTTTCCTGTTCATGATGTTGCCAATCAGTTCAGTGGTGAGGATATTTTTAAATGTTATTATTTTTGTGTGTGTGTGTACCATCAAATCAGATCTGACTGGTACAGGAAGAGATTGGCTCAGGATAGAGCAGGGTTCAGAGCTGTTGTACGTAAGGTCGCTGTGAGTTGCAGGGGACTCGACGACACTTAACATCCAGTTGCTTTGGTAAGAAACGAATACTTCACATGACACAACCTTGCTTGCTGAAAGTGAGGACTTGAAGCACTTACTGCAGAGGGTTGAACATTACAATCATCAATATGGATTGCATCTCTACATCAAGAAAAAAATCCTCGGTGAACTCTGGTGGCCTAGTGGCAATAAGTTGCATTGCAATCCCAGAGGTGAGCGGTTTGAATCCACCAGATGCTCTGCTGGAGAAGGAGGGACAATCTCTTCCTCTGACACACCTACCTCCACTACCCCAGTCACTGACTCAATTCATCTGATCCAGGGTCTCCTCTCTTGCACAATACCTCCACACTTCCAAGCATGATATCCCTCTCTAAGGATTGGTCCCTCCTTGCAACATGACCAAAGTATGTCAGGAAATCCTTCAAAATCCTTGCCTCCAAGGAGCAGCTGGGTTTCATGCTCTCCAGGCAGTCCATGGTATAGTCATAGCTTCTTAGAATGTAAATAATAAGGTACATAGCACCTCTGTAGCACTATGGGATGTTAATAAGTAGATTCGTCAGTTTTGCCATCCTGCCAGGCTTACTACAATCCCTTTCTCTGACAATGTTAACCCTCTAAAACCCAGGAGAGGCTGTGCAGGGCCTGCCCCGCTCTCCTGTCTGCACACCACAGCTCCTCTGTGGACACCTGTGGACCCCACCTGAGGCTGGAGCGTTCTCACTGTCCCCTACCACCTTCTGCTGTGCTCTTCTGTAAATAAAGGCCCAGGGGCCATGTGCATACCGGGGCCGTAGGAGCTGGGGACGTGGCACCAGGGGCAGTGTGTGCATCGGTGAGGCATTCCACTGGTGGGAGAACTCACAGATCTACGAACAGCATGATTGCAGCATCAGGGCTGGCTTGGGGTAGGTGGGGTGAACACACTGATTTGGAGAGACATTTTGGGGAACACTGAACTAAAATTAGCTAGCAAATGAAGGTAGAAAAATATTATCTAAATGTTGTTGCTATGTACCATTGGGTAGGAATCAACCCACGACTGTCCAACAGGTTTTTCAGAGGCAGTAACTTGCAATGGAGGGGACTGTGGGTGACTGGTGGACTAGAACAGTGTGCCTTTGGGTTGGCAGTGCAGCTCCTTGCCACAAAGCCATCAGACCTACTGAGGGTGGGTTCTGGGATTTATTAGTGTTATAGAATCAGTTTTTAACTCCTGGTGACCCAGTGTGACAGAGAAGTGGCCCATGGGGTCTTTATGGGAGATCGCTGGGTTTCTCCCATTAAGTAGCTGGGTGGGCTTCAACCACTAACTCTGGTCAGCCACCAAGCTTAATTGTTGCACCACCTGGGGCAGGAGCTGTTTGCTTGCTCTGAGAGGAGAGAGTTTCTAAGGGAAAGACAACTTGTTGCCGTCGAGCGAGTAATGACATGTGGCTGACACCCCAGTAGGTATCAGAGGAGGATGCCCGTCTTTCTCCCTTGGAGCAGCTGGGGGGTGGTGGCAGTGCACCTCTTTGTTCACCAAGCCACCGGAGCTCCTAGAGGGGAAGACAGGCACCACCCGTAGCCAACCACGAAATCAAGGCCAACCCAGCGTCTCAAGTCATTTCTGACTGCAGACAATGGCCCACTGGGCTTCCAAGGCTGCAAATCTTAACAGCAGAGGCGGCTTCATCTCTCTCCAGGGAAGTGGCTGGTGGATTCGTACCACCAATCTTCTGGCTTGCAGCCGTAAAGAGACAGACAGATTTAAACTCGCTCAAAAAACCTCACTGCTGTCAAGTTGGAACCGACGCACCAGCTGACCCTCCTGCAGGTCTTCAGAGGCTTTAAATCACAGGGGAGGAAATGGCCTGTCCTCCCTTGAACAGCTGGTGGATTTAAGGAGTCTTTGAATTGGCAGCTCTGCTCCGTCGCACTAGGTCACCAGAGCTCCCAAGCTGGAAGACTACTTGACTGGGAAGGGTTATGCCAATGTCAGATGACTGTGCCCTGCTGAGGCAGTAACCAGATGTTCATGTTAGGTGCCACTGAGACAGTGACAAATCACAGCAAGTCTGTGAACAGGTCTGACCCTGCCCTATCCTGTGCCGGCCTCACCATCTCTGAAATACCTGGACCTGTTAGCTGTGTTCATCCATGCTGTTGGAAGTCTTCATTTCTCTCTGACCCTCCACCTTTCCCAGCACAGTGTCTTCCAGGAGGACAGCTGCCTCCTGACAACATTCTCGGAGTACCTGAGACAGTTTCCCCATCCTTGTCTCTAAGGAACATCTTGGTTGCAATTCCTCTGAGACAGACTTGTCTTGTCCTTTTGGTGGTCCATGGGGTATTCAGTACTGTTCTCCAACACCACAGCTCAAAGGTAATGATTTTTCTGTCATTCTCATTCATGGTCCAGCTTTCAGATGCAAAGGAAGTAACTGAGAAGACCAGGGAGTGGGTCAGGCTCACAGACTTTAAGCTGGTGTTGTTGCTACTTAGCACCCTGGAGAGAATGTTGAGATTTTCCCAATGCAATCTGTCTTTTGATTTCTTGACTGCTATTCCTCTAGGTGTTGACTACAGAAACAAGTAAATCACTGACAACTTCAGTCCTTTCTCCTTCTATCTCTCGTTGCCTAAAGGCAACATCAAGACAACTGGAGATCTTCTAACAATATAAACAGTGCCCCTATGAGGCGGGACCATGCAAATAAGGTATGTTGTTGTTATGTGCCATCGAGTCACTTGTGATTCACAGTGACCCTAGGTTTAAGAGCCCTGAACCCTGCTCTATCCTGTACCAATCTCAATGTCTCCAACACACCTATTCCCACTGCCCCAATCACTGAATCAATCCATCTCATAGAGGGTCTTCCTCTCTTGCTCTGTCCCTCCACCCTCCCAAACATGATGTCTGTCTCCATGGACTGGTCCCTTCTTGCAACATGCTCAAAGTATGTCAGACGAAGCTTCAGAATCCTTGTCCCCAAGGAGCAGCCCGGCTTCACCCTCTCCAGGACGAACCTGTTTGTTCTCCTAGCAGTCCATGGTATATTCAACACTCTTCTCCAGCACCACAGCTCACACGCATCAACTCTCTATCATCCCTAGTCAGTGTTCAGCTTTCTCTCTGATGTACAGCACACAACTGCGAAGACTATGGCCCACATCAGGCACACCTTAGTCTCCAGTCTGATATCATTGCTCTTCAGTACTCTGGAGAGAGAGGTCCCTGATAGCTAACTTTCCCAATGCAATTTGTTTCTTGATTTCCTGGTTGCTGTTACCAAGACTGTTGACTGTGGAGCCAAGCAAACAAAAACTGTTAACAATCTGAATGCCTTCACCATCTATAATGATGCTGCCATTTGGGATGCTCATAAGTGGACTGGACAGTTTTGCCATCCTGATAGGTTTACGATTCATTTCCCTGACAATGTTCCACTACTCCTCATGGGGATTTCACATGAGGACAGCCAGGCCTGCCTTCTAGTCTTAGTCTGGAAGTACCACTGAAACTTGTCCACCATGGGCAGCCCTGCCTAGTATTTTAAATACTGGTGTCACAGCTTCTAGCATGAGAGCAACCTGCAAGTCCCCTGAGAAGGACTGACTGACAGTAACTAGTAGTGATGCATCTGAATTGTGCTGCTGGTAAAAAACCCCACCCAAACAAACCTGAGTATACATGCACTGGCAAAAGAATCATTCACGAGCTCAGGGCTGCATGACAGGATTTATTTGAATCACCACATCAGCCCCGGGGCCCTCCAGACCCTTCCTCACCCTGCAGTCAGGGAACCGGGACCTGCTGCTGTGCCTGCAGAGAAGGGTCAAGATGGAAAGGGCGCCTCGTGCCATGACCACTCAGGCTCTGCCCACTGCCTGTCCCTGTGGGGGACTCAGCAAGGACTGTCCCCTTGCAGGCTGGGGCTCATCTCAACGTCGCCACCCAAACAGCCTTCCACTGAGGTGGGCCTGGCCCCAGACACCTCGTGTTTCCAGCAGAGTAAGTCGCGGTCCTGACCCCTTGGACCTGCTGCCGCTCTCCTCGGCCAGAGGGAGGATGTGGGTGCTCCATCCACTGGGACCCAGAGGGGTTCCCTCATGACTCTTGTCTCTTGGCCTCAGGCCAACAGGCGGCTGTACTCCGCCAGTGCAGAGGACTTTCGGACCCCGTCCCAGATCCGGGCCGCATAATGGAACCTGTGATAAGAGGTTTCTGGTCAAGGCCATGGGGCATCGGGGGCAGAACATGGGGTGCGGCCTACGATCCAACCTCTGGAGCCCAGGCTGCTCCAGGGCGATCTAGAGATGGGGCTGAAGGGAGGTGGCCTTGCTCCTCTGACCTCACCGTGCAAGGGCGAAGGTGCTGGGCTTGGACCAAGACCTGACATCTCCATCAGCAGCTAGAACACCTCCCTCTCCTCAGTGCTGCCCTTTTGTGGGTGCAGCCTCACGTGGTGAGGAGAAATGTCACATGGCACTGGCGACCTGGCCACTCCTCCCTCGTGCTCCTGCTCTGTACTCGGCCTGAGACTGACCACCAGGAGGAACAGTACTGTCCCTGGGCCCTGTGCTCACCCGGGCAGCCTCCTACTGTTGAGTCTGCACCCCTGCCTCTGCTGGTTACTGCTGGCTACAGAGAGGGCCAGGGGAGCCAGGCCAGGGGCCACTCTGTTTCTTTCACCAGAGTCTGCACATAGGAGGTGGCATTCTTGGATCCACGTGCTGTGGGCTCTGGATAAAAGCAGTCACAGTGAGGGGGGAGCTGTGCAAGGCTGTGTGATGGACAAACAACCAGCAGAGGGAGGGAGGACAGGGCCTCATAGCTCAGGGCAGGCCTGAGGATAAGCTCTCAGGGTTCCTGCTGGCCGCCAGGCCCCACGTCCTGTGAGTCTGCACCCCCTATCCCAGGTCCTCGTCAGATCCACCTTCCCTTACTGGATGGCTAGTCTCCTATTTAATAGACACTTCCCTTTGAGAACTTAGACATAATACTTCCTCTCTGCGCCTAACTTTCCTCATAAATCACAGCCAAATCTTACACCTCACTTGATCCACCAGAAAGAGAAATGAAAAGCTGTCAGTTGCAGGAAGTCACAAGAAGGTAACAAGCGTCAACTTTCCAGAAAAGGACACCAAGTCAGGAGGGGTGAGGCTGGTGGAGGGCTCTCACTGAGGTCCCACAGAGCTCTGGGAGCCTCTTCTTCATCTGCTCTGGGGGGGCACCTGCTGCTGGGAGGGCTTACCAGTTCTTCTCGGTGAGGATCGTGTGGGACAGCTGCGGCCGGGCCATGGACATCACCTGGCTCCGGAGCTTGCTCACCAAGGACTGGAAGCTGGGGTGGCCCCGGTACCCGGGCAGCAGGGAGAAGAGTGGGCTGGAGCCGGGGCCTGCAAGTTTCAGGGGAGAATCACTAGGACAGCTGGTCAGTGAGGCCCTTCCTCCCTGTCAGTCAGCATCCCAGACTCCAGGGAAAGCTTGGAGGGCCTGATCCTCCCACACCTGAACCCAGAACCAGCCTCAAAAGAAGAGGTTCAAGTGTGCCGGGCCCAGGCCAGGCTCTTCGTGCACCACAGTGACCATGCCACCCCAGACCAAAGCTGCCTGGTCTCTTATTACACCAGAGTGGGGATCTGTGTCTCCCTGGTCTCGGAAGGACCTCTCTCTGTGGACAGATGCCCACAGGTGCCCTTACCTGCTCTTGGCGGGGTTTCGTTCTCTGCTTCACTGTCCATGAACGGCATGAGGAACAAGTTGACTTCAGAGTCCAGGAAGTCAGGGGGGAGCCCCGGGAACACATTGCACTGCAGCATTGACAGGGTCCCTGGGGGAGGAGCCACGTCAGTCCTCACATACCACTGCGGGGAGGGGGCAGAGGCCAGCGGGGGGTCCGTGGGTCGGAGGTGAGGAGGCTGTGGCCGAAGAACGGCACCCTCACCCTTGTAGCGCAGGTGGGAGTGGGCCATGAGCTGGTCGATCATCAGGTGCATCTGCCGCAGCTTCCGGGGACAGAAGTCCTCCCGACGGGCTTTGTTCTGCAGGAAGACTGTGGGGGGAGGGAAGGGGGCAGCCAGCTCAGCCTCGTGTGCGCCCTTGTCCTCACCCCACGACCTGACCTCCTCCTCCAGCTCAGGTCCTGGATGAACATCGACGTCATTCCCCAGATGTTAACAGAGCTGCTTTCTGGCCTCAAGAAGCCCCCTTCTGATGGAGAACACCGAGTAAGAACGTGGCAGCCTGGTTGTACCATGTGACGAGAAGCACATGACAGGGGCTGACTGAGGCCAAAGCCTGAGGTGTGGACAGAGCAGGGTCCTAAGAGAGCTAGAACTTGGCAAAAGAGAAGTGTGTCGGCACAGCCGGGAGAAGACACAACCAGCAGAGAGACCACAGGTGCCTGGGCTAGGGGTGGGTGATCGGCTGCCAGTCCCTCCCGCGGAGTCACTACACACGCCTTCCTGAGCTCACGCTGGAAAAGGCCAGTGGCCCAGAAAGGCTGCCTGTGGTCAGGAGCCTGCGAGGGCAGCTGGGAGCAAGCAGCAGCTAATCCTTCCTTCTTCACGCTCTCCGGAACACGCGCTCCTCCATCACACCGCCCCTCCCCTCCTGCCTGTCTTCCCCCCATCTCTGACCCACCCTCAGCAGCACCCCCATCTCTGACCCACCCTCAGCAGCACCCCTCCAGCCCCCACCGCCCCTTCCTGTCAGTCTTCCCCAATCTCTGACCCACCCTCAACAGCACCCCTCCAGCCCCCACCACCCCTTCCGGCCAGTCTTCCCCCCATCTCTGAGTCACCCTCAACAGCACCCCTCCAGCACCCACCACCCCTTCATGCCCGTTTTCCCCCCATCTCTGACCCACCCTCAGCAGCACTCCCCAAGCCCCCACTGCCCGTCTCCCCAGTGAGCCTGGCTTGTCCCCTGAACCCCGCTCACCCAGGTGAGGGTAGTACTCAGTGCCCTCATCAGAGCCCGCCGAGCTGCTGGACTCATGGCTGGGGGACGGGGTGGAGGGCTTCACCATCTCTGCTGTCTGGAGGAACCTGGGGTTTGGGGAGAGAGCTTGTTACTCCTGTACTGCACCCATGTCCCACTGTCTTGGGGGATCCTCTGAAAGCTACAGCCATGCTCACATATGCTCTGTATTCCTCCACTGTAGGAAACTCAGAGACCACGCTCAGACACTAACCCGTGGGTCCATGTTGATGATACGAATTTCTGATGAGCTTGCTTCCTTCAAAATAAACTAGGGGCTGGCTGTTTTCCTCTGTGACAATGGACATTGGATCACACAGATCCTTCAATAAACTTCATTTAAAAAATAAACTGAAACCTAACCTGCTCCCCTCGAGCCTGTCCCGAAGCGCAGCCGCCCCGCAGGCCCAGGGCCGGTCTCCCTAGCTCACAAGGTGGTTCCTGCCAAAGGGACAGACCGCTATGCCTCTCTCCCATAGGGGCTGCTGTCCAAGAACCCTGGATACCTCGGTCAGTACCCAGGTAGTCAGTGCAACACCCGAGGCCTTCAAAGAGTACGAGATTTATGACACAGAAGAAAATGTCAACTTGGCTATTTATGGAAAGAATAAGGGGATCTGATAAAAGCTGGGGGTGGTCTCCTCCCAACACTCCTGAGCTTGGAGGGGGTTCACCCAGGATGAGGAGCCCATGCACAGATCCCGGGCTCCTGTACAAGCTGAGCCCCATGAACACAAACTGCCATCGGGCATATCCTGCATCCCCAGCACCCACACAGAAGGGCCCAATGTCTGTGCATGAATGAATCCCGCGGACAGAGGGCCATTCAGAATTCACTCCAATCGGCCACCCCAGCTGGCTATGTCAGCAAGTCTGTGCTGCTCATCAGGCCACATGGTACCCCAACTCCGCAGATGACAAACCCGGGCAGCTCAATCCAGGGAGCACTCGCTCTGCCAGACACTATGCCAGGTGCTTTCAAGTTGTCAACTCACTTCATCTGCCTGACTCTAGGGCCACTTGCTTCCTGGTTCTTTCCTTCTGACTGGACCAGGCCTAGGACCGCTGGCCTGCCTACAGCACGGCCCCGGGTTAACAAGCTATTCCTGGACACGATGGAGGGCACTTCCGGAGTCTCTGGCCACTTCAGGCGGAACTCCTGCCAGGCCCTCTGGTGCCTGAGTGCCAGGGGACACACATGCCTGGGGGAGGGGCAGCACACAGCCAGCTCCCCCCACCACTCATGAACACGTTTGTGTGACATGCCTACCCCGTCCCTCATCCCTTGGGGTAAGCCTGCCCTCCAGGGGGTGGGGCATAGCCAGATCCAGGGTCCGGTCGCAATGGAGGAGCACACAATAGAAAAGGACAGGAGCGTGGAAGGTGGACAATAAGACGGTCAGGGAGCCCTGAGGGTGCCTTGAAGGGAGGCCTCTGGGCACGGGAAGTGTTTCCAGCTGAGGGGCAAGTGCGGAGGGCCTGGGCCTGGTGTGGCCTCAAGGAGGAAGTGAGGGAGGAGTTGGAAGACAAGGCCGGGGAGGTGACCAGGAAGCGATCCTGACGCCCACGTGAGCTTTGCATGAAGGGCTCTAAGCTGTGTCTAGAGTGACGTGTAAAGTCAGTGCAGGATGAATGCCCTGTGGGGAGGGGGTGGCTATACTGACTGACATTTGAAAAGGTCCCTCTGGCTGCCATGTGGCCTTTGGTCCAGTGGCTCTGAGCCGTCTCATCACCTCCCCACCTCCGCCTGCCTGCCCTCCTCACCTGTACAGACTGAGGTCTGTGAACCAGTCCTGGACAACTATCACCACGTGGCACACAGTGAAGAGGAAGGCGGCGATCTGTAGTGACTGCAGGCAGAAAGTGACAGTAGAGCTGGGGTCCTGATTCTAGTGCTCAGTGGAGAGGGCAGCAGGCACAGGGTGCAGAGCCTCTGAGCACCTACCGTGGGCCAAGCCCTTTCCCTCTGGGCCACCCCTATATCTCACAAGGCAGGGATCGTCATCCCATTTTGACACAAGACGCTGAGGCTTGAAAGGAGCAGGCAGGGGTGAGCTGCCTGAGAGGCAGAGCCAGGAACTGAGCCAGTAGGCCCTCCAGGGATCCTGCCTGACCGCCCTTGGAGAACCCAGGCTCTTACGATGCTACACCAGACCCTCCACACAATCCTGCCTGACCACCCTTGGAGCGCCCAGGCTCTTCTGATGCTACATCAGACTCTCCACACAATCCTGCCTGACCGCCCTTGGAGAACCCAGGCTCTTCTAGTGCTACACCAGGCCCTCCAGGGATCCTGCCTGATTGTCCTTGGAGAACCCAGGCTCTTACGATGCTGCACCAGGCCAGCTCCTTCTAACCTGTCATTAGATCTCTCTTACCTGCATCTCCACATAGGTGTGGGGGAGGTTGTACTCTGGAGGCAGTTTCCGGTCGTTGTTGATGAGATGGTCCAAGATGGAGGGGCTCAGGATGGGCTGTACAAGCAAGACAGGGTGTCAGGGAGGGACGGGACTGGGGACTGGAACTCAGGGGCCCTAGCCACCCAAGTTCCACCCCAGGACAAGTTAGGGCCAGGAACACAAGCAGGCAACTTGAGTGATTCACTGCAAGGCAGCAGCAAAGGAGCCAGAAGGTCGATAGTTCAAACCCACCAACAGACCCCAAGGAGAAAGCTATGGCGGTCCACTTCCATAAGGATTTCCAGCCTTAGAGGCCTGATGGGAGGCTTCATTCTGTCCTGCAGGGTCACTGTGAGGTGCCTCACCTCACCGGCAGGGGGAGCCAGCAAGGTGCAAAGAGGCACAACAAGCTTCTGAGCAGATTCTTCCCCATCGGTCACACAGCCAGCGATGCCCTCCAGCATGGAGCCGCAAGAGGGGAGTCACCTGGTACTAACAGATGCACGAAGGCTTCTGTGAAGGAGCACGACCCTCAGCACGTTTCCTGTTGCTGGCTGTCTAGAATGCTTTCAAACCTTTACTGATAATGACAGATAAAAAAACAGTGGCTAATTCCAGAATCCCATCAGTGAACGTAAATCAATCAGTGGCGAGCTCACCAAATTTTTCTTAAAGGAACCCAGAAGTTAAAGAACTCAGGGTGGTCAAATCGATTCTGATTCAGAGTAATGGTCAGCTGGAGAGGAGGGAATTTCCTCCCCGGGTTTGCTGTGTTGAGTGCTGTTGAGAACCAACCCAGAGCTGATCCTCCAGTGGGTTTTCAGAGGCTGAAATGGCACGTGAAGAAACTGCCCATATTTCTCTCACAGAGCACCTGGAAGATTCGAACCATGGGCCTTTGGACTGGCAGTGTAACTCCTTACACCAGGCCACCAGCATTTCCCTCACAGGGTTCAGAAAGCTATAAATCATCAAAGCAGCAGATTGCCACATCTTCCTAACCTAGAGCAGAGGGTGGGTTTGAACCACTGACCTTTCAGTTATCAGCCTAGCACCACAGGGCTACTAATTTAAAAACTAAACCCTCTGTCACTGAATCCATTCCATCTTACAGGGCCTCAGCTCTGGGCTTCTGAGGCTGGAATGAGGGCAGTCAGGGTCATCTTGCTGCAGCAGAGCGGATGGTGGATTTACACTGCTGACCTTTGGGTAAGTGGCCCAACACTGAACCTACTGTGCTACCAGGGTTAAATACCACAAGGGCTAAACTGGCTTAATGGTCTCCTGACTTCCACCTACATGAGATGGCTTTCAGAAAGAGGCATTCTCGACCACTCAAGTCTCTCAGATTCCAAGCCCAGTGCTGTGTTCTATTTCATCCTGGTTTGTTAACTCCTGCTTTCCCCAACTCATGGCTCTGTGACCCAGCTCGAAGCCCATTAAATCCAGCCTGAGGCCCTAGTGGCCCCTTGGCGTACGTGGCCCACCACACACAGGTCTGGCGCCACATCTGTGGACTTCTTTCAATCTCATGTCATCAAAGCCCAGGCCCTGTGCCCCAGCTCTGGTCATCAGAGGCAGGGCTCTGGCCTGATGTGCTCCAGGCAGGTGAGGAGGGAGTCGACACTGAGTCTACACAGAGGATATGCTGCCACAGATGGGGTTCCTGGGTGTCACTAGGCAGCCAGAGGCGGGGAAGGGGAATCGAGTATAGCCAGTATTCTGAGGATGGCAGAGGATGGAGCCAAGTTCCGATCGGCTGTTCAAAGACTCGCTATGATGGCAGTCAACTTGATGACACCTAACCACCACCACCCTAGGAGGCAGAGTACAGTTATCCCCATTTACAGATGAGCATGATGCTGAGAGAAATAACTCAGGCCTATAAGGACAAATACTGCCTAAGACCATTATTGTAAAAACAGAAGGATAACTAAGCAAACATGTGTGAATGTTCAAAAGGGGAAGGGCGTAGACAAAAGGGAAGGGTGGAAATCACTAGGAGAGCAGAGAAGTAGAGAACGGGGAAGTGTGGAAATCACTAGGAGAGCAGAAGTTAGTGGGTGGTGAGGGAGTGAAGAGACAGGAAAGAGTCAATGGGGACTTGAAAAGATGCAGTAATAACAGGCATAGGTCAACAGTAATTATATAACATACAATGTATGTGAATGATTATATGAAACACAATGTAAATGAAAGACTGGATAAAACACAATGTACATGAGTGAAACACAGAATGTATATGAATTGTACAAAACCAATAAAATATTAGAAGAGAGAAAAAAAACCCTCAACAACCCTCAACAAAGCCATCTCGCTAGAATGGTTGAAGGCAGGATCTGATGGCAGATGAGGGCCCAGCTCCAGGCCACACTTTGACCACTGAGCCAGGAGCTTCTTTAGGCCACCCTGCAGAAGCTGGAATGAATGGAGACAAACCTGACAAGATTGAGGTCTAAGAAAAGGTACAACGTGGCCCAGGGCATGGGAGTGTCTAGTTCAGCAGGAACCCCAGCAGAGCCCTGGTGCTCAGGAAGGGGGCTGGATGGGCCACGAGCTAAGACCAGGCACCTGTGTGTCCAGGAAAACAATCCGCTCTTGGGTGATGAAGAAGTCAATGCCGCTGGTCTGGTTGCCCCCGCGTTCCTTCATTTCTGCACTCTGAGCCCGGAAAACGTAGGCCCTGTGGGGAGAAGAGGGCCTGTGGAGGCACGGTCTGCAGGGAGCTGTGCTGTAACCCAGAGGCGACGCCTCTCTGGCCGTTCACGTTCCCAGCTGCTCTACAAGAGCGATCTCCCACATAATTTCAGCCTCTGAAAAACCCCTGGAGGGTCAGCTAGGAGTCTGTTCTGACCCGATGGAGGATGGAGATTAAGAGGAAAGAAGGGAGCAGGGATCCATGAAAGGTCTGGGACGCAGCCTCTGACGATAGTGTTACTGTAAAATGACTGTGATAACAGGTCTACTGGCCCAACCTCCCAGCCAAGGCCCTGTTGCCTGGGGCATGTTTTGTACTCACTCCTACTGAGGGGCAGTTTATTAGTTCATCTAACCAGTCAGTAGACAGAGGAACCAAGAGCAGTGGGATTCCTGATGAAGTCTAGATAAGCTCTTAACCTTTCCCCTCGGTTTTCAGTTCCCTCAGCTGTAAAATGGGGTGGCAACAGTACTACTAAACTTTTTGTGGTAACCAATATTTTGTTTTGCTTTGTTCCACAATCAACACTCTTGGCACCAGCAGTCAGGAAATCAATAATGAATTGCACTGGGGAAGTCTGCTGTCAGGGTCCTCGCCAAAGTGCTAACGAGTAGTGTTGTCAGTCCAGGGACTAAGATGCACCTGATCCAGGCCATGGTCTTTGCAATTAATTGCTATGCATCAGAGAGCTCGACAATGACCAAGGATGACAAGAAGACTAATCAATGCTTTTGAACAGTGGTGCTGGAGAAAAGTACTGAACATACCATGGACCACCAAGAAAACAAACAGTTCTATACTAGAAAGGGTGAAACAAAGTTCCTCCTTGGAGGCTACAATTTTAAAGCTCTGTCTCACATACTTTGGACACATGGCCAGGAGGGACCACTCCCTGGATGAGATGGATCGACATAGTAACTAGGGTAATGGATATAGGTGTGTAGGAGACAGTGAGAACTGGCTCAGGAGAGGACAGGGTTCAGAGCTACTATGCTTAGGGTCGCTATGAATCAAAGCCAACTCAATGGCACATAACACCGACTATGTGATTCATGCATGTAAAACCCTTAGATTAGCACTCAATAGTGAGGGGTTTGTGCGAGGAGAAGGGTGCAACAACGAATGAATGGAATCCCAAAATCTCTGTAGATGTTCATTGAAATGAAAAATAAACAACCTAAATTAAAAAAAAAAAAGTGATATATTATTGCCAGCTACTGATTAGAAGGCATTGGGGCTAAGCACTGAAGACAGTCACAGCTCGAGGATGCCTGGTGTCCTGGTCCCAGCTCTGTCCCATCAGGCAGTCTCCTGAGTCTTCACCTGTGCTGGGTCCGGGGGACACCAGGCCAATGCAGATAGAGCTGGATTTGCCGTAAGCCACAGGGCTCAACTCAGTCCCTCCATGACAAGGACAAGAAGACTTTTTTTTAATTGCCCTACCATATTTTTTTTATTTTAATAATTTTTAAAATAATTTTAATGAACATTTACAGAGATTTTGGATTCCATTCATTCATTGCTGCACTTCTCTCCCCGTCCAGCCCTCCCCCCACCCTGACAAGTAGACTTTAACCTGACAGTCTGGACATATTTGATTTTACTTCTATTTTAAAAATGAACTCTTTCCTGTTAGTTCGTGCAAACAGGCCTCCATTTATTGTAGCTTTCAGTGATTACTAACCCTTCTCATCCTCCAGTTTGTCTCTCTCTTGACAGTCCCCCACCCCCGCCTGTTCTCCCTGCCTTCTTCCTCTTTGTCCCCGTTTTGGGTCCTATCTTTTAAGGTTTTTTATCCTTAGTAACTTCACATCTTCACTCAAGAATGTCACTCAAGCTAGGAAATCTCATAAATATTCTTTCTCAGCCAAGAGATAAAGCCATTCTCTCAAAGTGACCCAGCAGAGCTTGGTCTAGAACACTGATCCCTACATCCAGCTCTTTCCCTGCTCACCTCTCAGGCCCTATCAGCCACCAGTCTTTGAGTCTTTGTATTGGGCTAGGTACTCATTAGCTTTTGGTTCACCGTGGGAGTTCTGGTGGCCTAGCGGACTGGGGGTTGTGCTGCCAACCCAAGTCAGATGGTTCAAATCCACCACTTGCTCCACGGGAGAGAAATGAGTAATCTTCTCCCATGTGATTTACAGGCTCTGAAAAACTTCTGCTATGAGTCAATTCTGACCTGACAGCAATGAACAACAACTATCTTACTTCATCCTCCCCAAACCCTCTTACAGGTGAGGAAGTGGAACACTGGGAGGTTAAGTGACGTCCAATGTCAACAAGCTGGTGATTGGCAGGGCCGAGGCTGAGGTACACCTCAATACAAAGCCTTAAAAATGTTATCATTCCACTTCCTGGCTGGGCTCCGTATTATCTCCTGGGTAACATAGGAAGAAAAAGGATGGGAGCTACAAAGAAGTTCTGTCCAGGCCATAATCATCTGATCAAGGCATGGAGGCCCACGAAGAGGAAGGAACTTCCCAATGTTCCTCAGCGAAGCCACTGCAACTTGCAGTGACATACACACACAATCCTGCACTGGCAGTAACAGCACCCAATCTACATGTGGACACAGGCACACTCGTAAGAGAATGGCCATGCGTAGGAGGGAGTACAGCCAGGACCGCCTCTAGGTGTGGTAGATGATGTTTCTCCACATGTTATGGAGGTCATGTAAGGACACACCAGAGAACACTGATAACCTAGTGGTCAGCCCTCAGAATCAGCGAGCTGCTACATGAGAGAAAAATAGGCACAATCAGCTCATGTATGACTTACTGTCTCTGAAAACCCCATTCTTCAATGAGATGAAAAAGGCAATCTCCAGCTTCATTTGGAATTAAAAGAGGCCCAGAATAATAAACAAAGCACTCCTCAAAAAGAGAAACAAGGTAGGTGGCATCTCACTCCCTGATTTCAAATCCTACTACACTGCCGTGGTGGTCAAGATGGCATGGTACTGGTACAAGGACAGACCCATAGATCAATGGAATAGAATTGAGAATCCAGAGCCTATGATGATGAAGGAAGAAGTTCAAGCTGCTCTGAAGGAAATGGCAAAAAATAAGGCCCCAGGAATAGATGGTATACCAATTGATGTATTTCAGCTAACAGATGCTGCCCTGGATGTGCTCACCAAGTTGTGCCGAGAAATCTGGAGAACAACCAGTTGGCCAACTGACTGGAAGAAATCTATGATTCCAAAGAAGGGTGATCCAACAGAGTGTGGAAACTATAGAACAGTATCACTGCTTTCACATGCAAGCAAGATTCTACTGAAGATTATCCAAAAACGACGGGCAAAGCACATCAGCAGAGAACTGCCAGAAGTCCAGGCTGGGTTTAGAAGGGGTCGTGGTACTATGGATACTGTAGCTGATGTTAGATGGATCTTAGCTGAAAGCAGGGAATACCAGAAGAATGTCTACCTGTGTTTCACTGATTATGCAAAGGCATTTGACTGTGTGGACCATAACAAACTGTGGCTGACTCTGAGAAGAATGGGAATCCCAGAACACTTGATCATTCTAATGCGAAACCTATACTTGAACCAAGAGGCAGTAGTCAGAACAGAGCAGGGAAACACTGCATGGTTCAAAACTGGGAAAGGTGTAC